ATTTGTTTGACTGGTTAAGAAATTACTCAAAGTTGCTCAGCATTTAAATATTTTCACGGAGGCTCGCTTTAAAGCTTGATTTTCAGACAACTGGATTTGCTACTGACGGTGTTGAACGTCTCTTTTAAGCTGGTAAAGAAATTGGCCCAATAACCCTTAGTTAGTGGATGTTATGAAGCAGTAATAAGTCGATTGTAGCATGCATGTTGACCTTGGAAGCATAAATGGCGAAAGTGCGATAGAATACGGGAAAAAAGAGCAGTTTCGGAAGAGAAGGCCGAAGTGAGATAGGTCCAATTAAGTCATATACGCCTTAACTCAACATCGCGAGTAATAAATGTTCCATATTTCTTGACAGAGCGCAACTTCCTCTTCTATGCTTTAGGGTTCAAGTTTAAGCTACATTTCGAAGCTTTACAGTTCATCTCCACATCGCTTTGATTTCGAAAATTGTGTTTCACATGTGCGTGAGGCGTGAAGTGTCTTATTGAAATTTCAGTGGGAGGCAATTCAGATACTGGGAGAAAAAGTTGTGCAATTGTCTCTTCCGGGATTGTGGTTTTTGTGTGTAGTGTAATAAATTATTTTGTGTGTGGTGTAATAAATTCAGCTTATTGAGGGTGGATATTTTTTATGAATTGTTTAATTTTCAGAAGTTCATCACCTGGTGCCAGCGTGGCCGTGGCAAGCATTCACAACCCGCAGCACGTGCACATGCAGCGTCCTTCTGCTGTCCCTCTAATGCAGCACATGGCAGCACCATCGCCACAAGCTCAGGGAACAACGGCTGTTGGTATGTTTTTCCATTACGGCGATATTCCGTGGAACGAGGAGAATAGTTGCCTTAAATGCGGATGACAGTGCGGTAGTAATATATCTATTAAGGCATTCTCTGGCCATATACACCGGTAAAATGACATGTAGTGCACGTTTACAGTCCGAATGATCAGCTGACTGAGCTGGAGTTTTGACAGATGTCTTTGCCCCCAGTAATGAGTTTTTTTTTTCGAATATGGTGGTGGGAAACCCGTTTTTTCGTACGATTAATTTATTCACTTTGGCGACAGTTTTATCTGGAAATGTAGAAAGTTACTAATCACCTTGGGAAAAGACAACTTGTTTCCAGACTAATTTCGAAAGCAA